GTCAATGAGGCCCCCGAGCCAAAAAGTTTGCCCACCCCTGCCTTAGATGATTCTATGTAGCTAACTTCTTAAAAAGTATTTAAACTATTTTATCCTACTATTTAAAAATACTCTCTGGCTGGCTTCTCACAATACACTACGCTAAAATGGAATTGGGCAGTTTGTAATTTGGGGGGGGGGGAAGCTGACTATTATTTTAGCCCTCATGTTATCCTAGAATAGTCTGTTTGAACACCGCATGATAGATCAGCACAGCAATTATGTTTTATTTATCTGGGTTTAGGATGCTGTAAGAACCCACATAGCATCTCATCTGTTCTTCGTTGTGTTGAGATAAGGCTTGGTTACCTTAGGACCATGTTCTGGTTTAGGAACAGGGACTGCAGAAAAGTCTTCATTTTCAAGAACTAACATGGCATTTCTCCCCCTCCAAATCTAGTTCCCAGTCTGTTTAAGACTGTCATACGTCTGTTTTGGATAGGTTTATGGGGGGGGGGGCTGCATTGCTTTGTGGTCTCCCCATGAAGTGAAGGTAGTAGGGGGCTTAGAATGGGGAGGAGTGATCTGGTGGGTGGGGAGAGGGGGGCAACAGCGAGCTTAAGCTTAACCTTCTCTGGACTCTGTTTAAATGTATCTGACCTGGATATACCAGCTGTTTTTCTGAGCTGGGCTAGGTGACTGTTAACAGTACCATCCTTTGATCATCCTTTGATCTTAAAAAGCTATTAGAGTGAGGTATATTTTATGAACTGGAAGAAGCTCCTCATTCCAGAAGTGCTGCAGGAAAAGGAGAAGGATGTTTATTTAGGAAGACTGGTGTGTCTGTCTGTAGCTTTCTTGACTCCTTGGGCTGAAAGACAAACTTTTTTTTCTCTCCTGTCAAGAGAATTTTGTCCTGGGGCAGGAAGAAAGCCAAGGTGAACCTCGTGTGGAAACACTGTAGAATGACAGCATCAGAAATCCTTCCCAAGCTCTGTGGGATGAATGGGGGCTGTTTGGGGGGGGGGGAGCTCATTTTGCAGCTACTCGTTCTCTGGGCCAAAGTGTGATTTCTGAGTTGTTCATCATACAGGCATTAGCGCTGTTTGGTCCTTACAGTGGCACTGTTCCAGATGTTTTTTTTTAATCTAAAATATTTTGCTTTAATCATCTTTTGTTGACCAGGGAGATTTTTTTAAACAATTGAACACTATCCAGTGCAGCAATTGACTGTCCAGTATTTACTTGGTTGAAAGTTGAAAGGAGGTAGTGAGTAAAGCGGCCATCAGAAAGTAGTTTCCCTTTACTGCGGAGGTTTCAGCTGCTCCTGAGAAAAGGTTGCAAGATTTACTTCTTTGGAATATCCCTTGTCTGCCAAACAGAAAAGGAAACGTGGAGAGACTCCTTTCACTGTTTATGCCAGGAAAAGAACCCAAGTTACAAAAGGCATTTAAAGTTTGCTCTGGGTGCTTGTTCAGTATTGGAACAGTCCCTCGAGTGACCTGTCATCAGTCAATGATTTTTGTCCACAAAAAGCGAATCAAGTAATTGCTTGTTCTTGCTTTTTCAACAGAACAAATAGTTGAAAAAGATGAGGGGCCATATTACACTCATCTGGGATCTGGACCAACTGTGGCATCCATTAGAGAACTTATGGAGGAACGGTAAGTCACGTAGGGATCCTGAAGAATTTGAAAAGAAAAAGTCTTCACTAGTCTATCAATTTTGCATACCCAGAAATGAAGCCAGGAATTTTTTAGCAGAATAAGGAGGCCTTCTCTTGACCTTGACAGAGAATGTGGATTATGAGGACAAGGATTGTATTTGCATTTTTAGCAGCTGCATCGGGCTGTTGGCTCATTTGAGTTTGTGATCCACCAACATAGTCACATCCATTCGTATATTTTGCTGTCCGCTTTCTCTTCCTGCATCCTATAATTATGACATTGGTTTTTCCTGCTGTACTGTAGGTTTTACATATTGAAATTTATCTTGCTGGATCCTCCTCCATCAATCATTGCAGCTTTTCCCCTGAATTTTAGCACTCTCTTCTAATGCATTTGCCCCCACTGCCACACACCATTTCTATGTCATCTGAAAATCTGATGGTTTGAAATATTTTCTAGTCCCTCTTGTAAAGATGGCCATGGAATGTACCTTTTAGCATTCCCCATATTTTAATGTGGAGCCCCTGATGTTCATTCATGTGCATTGTGCCCATCCATGAGTGTTCTATCCATCCACAGGTAGTGTTGTCCAGCTTCCTTTAGCGGGTTTTTTTGGTAGGATTTTATGCTTTGCTGAAATCAAGGTACACCATTTTGCTGAAATTCCCCATGTCAACTAAATTGGTTTGGTATGAAGCATTTCCTTCCATCCTGTCCACATAGCTGGAAAGGTTAGGGACTACTGCTCTAAAGCAGAATGTTGTATTGGGACTATGAATAGCCCCGGCCCTTTCTGCCGCCCTTAATCTGACCTTAGTCTGACTTACGGGCTACAATATGGATCCATTAAGGAATCTTGTCCAGGAGTCCTTGAGGCTTGCACTACAAAGGGAATGCAGGGATACACAGACATGGATTTAGAAAGGATGACTTCACAGAAAGAGTAGCAGGAGCTTGGAACCAACTTCCAGCAGAGGTAATGGATCAATGACCAGTAATTTAGTTTAAACATGCTGGGGATAAAACACATGTCTATCTCATCTGGCAAAAAAAAAAAAAAAAAAAAGATTTTTTTAAAAGGGAAAAATAATAAACAGAAAAACAAGCAAGCAAAAAACCCTCAAAAGCAATGGACCCCTAGGTCTTTTCCTGCCATTTCCACGTGTCTCTATTTCTCTGGATGGGTTTCTACTTTTGCAATTGACTCACACACACCTGGGTGCTCTGAGTCCTTCCCTTGCAGCTCAAAGGCAGGGCATTGCTGGGAGAGGCAGGCCGGAGGGAGGCTGGGGAAGAACCTCCAAGCACTGGAAGAGATCCCCCTTCACCATCCAGAGAAGGGAAGCCATATTCCATCTTTGCTTCCCTCCCAAGGATGAGGATTGTCCTCTTACCTGATCCTCCAAATCCTTTTTCCTGCTTGCCATAATGAATAAGTAATGAGTCAGAACAAGGGTGTTTAGCAAGTTGTGTGAATGCTAAAACCCAGCCAGCAAAAGGAGCAGAATAGTCCAAAGCAGCAGTTTCCTCAAGATCCATTGCAACACTTGCTCTGCCCCTTATTCATGTACACAGAGCCATACAATGCGCACACGAAAGAGGCCGCACTTACACTATTATGATTTTTCTTTTATTAAAGAAAACCTCTCTGCTAAACTGGAACTTGGAGAGCCAGTTTGGCCTAGTAGTTAAGGCATCAGGCTGGACACAGGAAGACTTGAGTTCTAGTACCATCTTAGGCCCAAAATCACCTGGATGACCCTGGGCCAGTCACTTTCTCTCAGCCCTGGAAAGGAGGTAATGGCAAACCACTTCTGAAAAACCTTTCCAAAACTGCAGGGACTTGTCCAGCCAGTCTCCAAGAAAGGGACATGATTGAACCAAAGGGGAAACAGTCTAAAACTTGCTTCTTATAATAGTTGAATATTAACACTTTCATAACTCTTACATTTAACTATTGATCATGATCATTAGAATTCAATTTGCATGAAACCATATTTATTTTAATTCAAGTTGATGTATTAAGATAAAAGAGATATGCTTCTTCCAGTAGAGTAGCTTTACTTTCTCCTAATTTTCATATTCTGCAAACTTTTTCATGCAATGTTTCTGTTTTATATTTTATGTATTATTAGTATTTTTCTAAAGTAAGTTTTAAAAAATGTTCTTGATCAGGTAGCCTCATCAATGTCAGTTGTGCTGATGTTCTGCTTTTTCCCCACCAGGTATGGCGAGAAGGGGAAAGCCATCAGAATTGAAAAGGTGCTCTATACCGGGAAGGAAGGAAAGAGCTCTCGCGGCTGCCCTATCGCAAAATGGGTCAGTGAGGAAAAATAGAAGCTGTCCTAGAGCAGGGCTTCTCAACTTTGGCCATTTGACTGCTGTGTGGACTGCTGGCTGGCGAATTCTGGGAGCTGAAGCCCACACACCTTCAAGTGGCCATGGTTGAGAAACTCTGTCCTAAAAAGTTGAAGTGAATTTTGACTGGCCCCTAAGCCCTGCAAATAATTGAAAGGAAAGGTGATAATGGGGTGTCTTTCAACTCTGATAGCTCAGAGTCCCCATGCTTAGAGAGGGTTAGGTTACTCGGCCATTTATCTTTTGCAAGAGTGCAGCCATGGAAGAAGTCCTAACCTTCAAGTCCTCTGGCTTGAGGCTTGTCTACCAAGCCAGCCTGGACTTCAGAATAGAGAGCAAGGCCCTATCCAGCCAAGTAGTCCCCTGTAGGAAGCCCAAACTTGGTCATGGCATGGCTTTGTCCAGTTGAGGCTGAGTCTTGCCAAGTTGCTTTGTCCAGGGAGGCAGTCCAGCCTGCCAAAGGAACAGAAGGGGAGTCCCTTTTTGGCCCTACCAACATCTTTGCTTGCCTTCCAGGTCATCAGGAGGCACAACGTGGAGGAGAAACTGCTGTGCCTGGTGAGACACCGTACTGGCCACCACTGCCAGAATGCCGTCATCATCATCTTGATCTTGGCTTGGGAGGGGATCCCTCGGTCCCTGGGGGACACCCTCTACCAGGAACTCACTGACACACTCACAAAATTTGGAAACCCTACCACTCGGCGATGTGGGCTGAATGATGAGTAAGTTTGTCTGACTCTTCCCTAAAAGCAGGAGAGGAAAGAGAAGAGGGGGAAGGCCCTCCCTTGGCTCCAAGGTGGGGTTGCCTTCCTGTAATGCCTTTGAACTTAGAAGCAAAATGGTTTGCTTTTGGCTTCCATGTTGTCTGTTGCAACAAAAGTAATGGTCTTGCAGCACAGAGACATTTACTAAAAGAGAACCTTTGGCTGATAAATGGGCTGGAATTTAGATGCCCTCCTGCTTTCTTTTCTTTCTTCATGCGAAATGGAGGCTTGCATTGGGTAGGTGATAACCAGCCTAGAGGGAGGCTGCTGTCTTGGAGGTTTAAAGACCACGTCAGGCGTTTTAATTTTTTATCATTGAATTCCTTCTGTTTCCTTCTTTGTTTTTTTAATTTTTCCTACTTTATTAGTCCTGTACAATGGACTCCTTTCTTCTCTTAAAAGATGACTGAGGATTATGTGTACAGAAGGATGAAGTACAGGCCCTTTTGCTAGGCTAGGATATGATCTTCAAACAGAATAATAATAAAACCCAGATGATACATAAAATGATGCTGCTAAATAAACAAAAAAGCTTTAAAAATAATAAAGAGTTTAACTGTAATTTACTTTCATTTCAAGTCAACTCCAACCTTGACTAAGAACTTTTCTGCCCTGCACCCTTAAGCTGCTTGACTTCTCAGTGGATGCTGGCTAGAAAAGCTAAGACGACCCGTTTAAAAAAAGGAAGGCTTCAGCCACCCAACAGCCCTGGGCTTGGCTGATGAAGATAGGATGTTCCTGTTATGGTACACAAAAGCCAACCGAGGTGAAGGGAAGGACGGTAGGGAAACCCATCCATTCCCCCTGAGCCAGCCCAGGCCAGATGGCCCAAGAGCTGAGCTGGATCCGGAAAAGTGGGCTCCCTTCCGTAAGGGCTGAGGGGACAAAGGGAGGATGGTGTTGTTGTGCACAGGGCGAGCCGGTTGTGCAGTTCAGCCCTCAGCTGAGCTCTGCCATGTAAGATTCCTGTCGGGCACAAGGAACCAGGACAGTTCTAGGAATGGGCTAAAGCAGGGGTCCCCAACCACCGGACCAACCAAGTCCTACCGGGCCGCTGGTTTGCTGGGCGCGCCATCTTTTTTTGATGAAAAAGTGCTTCCGGTGAGCTTTTCCGGGTAGAAAGCTCACCGGAAGCGCTGGGCGCCGCCATCTTTTTTGATGAAAAAGTGCTTCCGGTGAGCTTTCTACCTGGAAAAGCTCACCGGAAGCACTTTTTCATCAAAAAAAGATGGCGGCGCCCAGCTGATGCCGGTATCGGGCCGCGCCATAAAAAAGGTTGGGGATACTGGGCCACGGCATAAGAAAGGTTGGGGATCACTGGGCTAAAGCATAGAGCTGATCCCGTCTGTTACAAGAACCTCACCAGAGAGACGGCGTTCCCTTGGGAGCCAGGAGAGAAAGGCTCCCCTTGTCTGCTCTGTGCCATTTCTTCCCACCAAGGGATGCCAGGCTGGGATGCCTGCTTACTTCCCCCTCTCCTTTAGCCAGTAGTTCCACCCCAATTACATAGATCATCAAGAAACCTCTTCAATATGTCTTAGAAAGTTTCTACTGTTATAAATTTTTTTTAAAGGCAATAAAACATTTTTATTAAACTACAATATCAGTGCCTGCAAAGATGACTAGCATCATATAATTCATCCTTGATTAAACTAAAGCCATCCATGAATATAACCTCACGAATAAATTTCCATCACTTTATTCAGTTTATGGAATAAACAGAAAGAAATATTTGGAGCATCGCTAGTGCTCCCTGAAAAACGAACTTGGGTTAGAGCCACTATCGAGGCCTACCTTGTGATAATGAGGGCAAATTTCCCAACCCCTTATTGGATCTACATATTGCTGCCCCAACCTATACTTATTTTGGGTGACATGTGCCCTCTTGAGTAGAGGGGCTCAGAGAGCGTGCAGGAACATGTGGAACAATTTGTTCAACATTTATTGGACAAAGTTGCTCCAAATCATTTGGATTTGGACTTGAATCTTATCTGTTATCTGGAATCCGTTTCAAGGCCTGAGAAAGTGGACACGGTTTTTTTAGGACTCCGAGCTCAGCCACCTGCTCTTTACATCCATTCCTCTCCTAGCTTATTAAAGCAATCCAAGATACATAATGTGAGTGGATTCCAGCAGTGATGAACTATTCCTTGAATGAGGGAGTTGTTCCTTTATCTTTTAAAGAGGACTAAATTTGTTGTTATACTCTTTATTACAGTATGCCACCTAGAGTAAGTTCTTGTCAGATAAACAGCCATATAAATGTCATAAATAAATATATTGGGGTGCATCTCAAAGAAGTGAGTCTGGATAGCTATCAGCAATTAATCCAGCAAAAGAATAAAAATATTCAGAATAAATAGACAATCAGCAGATATAAACTCCCTCCCTCCCCAATCATTAACAGAAAGACAAAATATTTAATCAAAGTAATTCACAACAGACACCCTGAGCCACATCTTTAGGGTCCTGTAAAAAACCAATTTCTGATTTCTTCCTGTGTCTTACCAAGTGGCTCTCTTTAATAGACAGGACCCATAACGTGCTTCTCCTCTCCTGGATACGAGGTGCTTCCATAAATAACTTGATCCCATGCCAGTGAGAGCTCTATGGGTAACTATAAACTCTAGGTACCAACACTTTGAATTGAATCTGGAAGCACATTGGCAACCAGGGCAGCTTGAGAGCAGAAGTGTGGTCTACACAGACCGAGAGGGGCTCACAACTTGCACTGCTGCCTTTTCTACTAACTGCAGCTTCTGGATGGTCTTCAAGGGCAGCCCATATAGAAGCGCATTCCAAATAGTCCATTTGGACTCTTAAGTTTAATTAAGACATCCATGACTACAAGCAGAGACACCCAATCTCTGAATGGATGCAAGTTGGTGCATGAAGCAAAGCTGTGCAAAGCCTCTCCTGGTCAAAGTTGCCAGCTATTCTTTGCACTCCCAAAGTGCAAGGTTTCCGTTGGGGCAGTGCAACCCTATTCAGAACAACATAAAGGGTAGTCCTCACTTAACTACGCTAATTGGGATGGGATATAGATGGGGTCTCCCTAACTAACTTGCTCAAACTGAAGAAGCTGTTTGGATAAGCAGCGAAACATTTCAAACAAAAAAAAACCAGCTGTTGATCCAAACAGCTTCTTCAGTTTGAGCAAGTTAGTTAGGGAGACCCCATCCAGTTCCACCACTGAGCATTTTCATTGGCTGTGGCAGGACTTCTCCCTCACATCAACAGCAACTGTCTCTGGAGGAAGAAAACTAGTGTGACCCTGTGTCACTCATTCCTGACCCTGAAGCCAGTCCATAAGGACATCGTGATCATTAGTATCCAAAAGTTTAGTATCAGCACTACCTATATTGTGTCCATTGCGACGTAGCTGGCTGCCATTTGCTTAGGAAACTGCTGCTGCTGCTGCTGCTGCTGCTGTACTCTTGGTTCTCTGTCTGGGATAGGCAGCCTTTCTACAGACTTGATAACCTGTGATCCCCACTCCCTTTGGATTCATTGCAGCCGGACCTGTGCATGTCAAGGCAAGGATCCCAACACCTGTGGTGCTTCCTTCTCCTTTGGCTGCTCTTGGAGCATGTATTTCAATGGGTGCAAATATGCACGAAGCAAAACACCCAGGAAATTCAGATTACAGGGAGACAATCCCAAGGAGGTTAGTGTCCTGGACTTTCTTGTTCTAGAGGGATTTATTATTGGAATCTCCCAGTTTAACAGATGGGAGAGTGAAGGGCAGTGGTTTTGAGGAGGGGCTTTCCCTGGTTTCTTGAGGAGGGGCTAGACTGGTTTCTTGCTTTCCCGAGAATCAATTACCATACAAGGTTTCAGTTCTAGTCATGGAAGAAACCTACATTTTCAGACAAAAAGAAACCACGTTATCTAATGCGACTTAAGGCTGCAGAATGGATTTTTTTAAAGACTGTATTCTCAGTTGATCCATCCTGTGGCGATGTTTGGGCAGAGGTTTCTTCTAGAGCGAACTGCTTTGAAAACCACATTTTCCTACCAATAAAAGTACCTCTGGAAAGAAGTTGGGGCGTTTTATATAATAGGAAATAATGAAGGATTGACTGCCTGCCTTTTAAAAAAGATTTTGTATTTCATTATTTTTTACAAATGACTCAAGGTAGAGAACCTATGTAATCCTCCTCCCTCCTCTTAATCTCATTCAGTTTTTTTGATTTCCAAATTCTGCTGGATGTAGAAAGAGTTATATGCATAGCTCATAGCTGTGCAACATGTGCCTCAAACCATGGGTTGGGAAGATGTGATTGTATTCATGTTCATTTGCTCTGCCTGAAGAAAGGAAGGGGGTTGCTCTGAGGAAAGGCAGTTGTTTTGCAGAAAAACTGTTCAAGTTTAGTTAGCAGACTTATTTCCAAAGGAACTTGGGGTAGAGAGAGGAAGTATTTCTAGGAGTTGCTACTGACGGCATCAGGCTCACTAGAGACACTAAGGAGCTAATCTTGATCTTTTCTCCTTCCAGGAAGAAGTTCTCAGAAAAAGCTTCCAGGACTTAGCTACGGAGGTTGCACCACTTTATAAAAGACTGGCACCCCAGGCCTATCAAAACCAGGTGCCTAGCTGACTTTTCCTTGATTGATTGGGGTTTTGATAAACATCTACTGCACCTACAAAAGATCTGTAACAGGCAAAACATGGAATGCAGTAACTGAAATTCTGAAAGGCTGTACAAGTAAAGTCATGTGACTCCTAGGAAAAGGGTTGCAGTCCCCAAATCTCGCAGGAAGAGCTCCATCACAGAGTTTGCTTTTTCGTGTGGAAGTTGCTATTCCCTTTTGCTACAGTGAGGCAAAACTGCTCTCTTTGGCCTTTGGGAGATGCAGTTTTCTGTTTACCAGTTTGTTGTCTTCTTGTAAGAAAGCTGGTTTGCAACAAGCTGGAATAGACCTTTCTTGCAAGTCAGTTTGAGTGCCTCCTGCATGGGTTCGCCTGTTCAGAAAGTATGCAGGTATCAATGAGTCTCACTTGCTTGGAAAGAGAATAAAAGCAAGGTTGTTCCTGATCCACTTGCCTATAAGGGGTGGGTTTGTACATTGTACTTAGCCATGATGCAGTTTGTGCTTGTGACTGGTGAATCCTGCCATTGTGATAGGTGTGAGTCTCTGAGTTGCCCTTCCTCCTGAATTCCCCATCTCCCTTGATGATGATAGGAGGAAAGTCCAGAATCACTTTATTGTCACTTTGAATGTACTAATTGGCATACATTAAAATGAAATTTCATTGTCTACATTATCAAAGGATCACCACCTCCAATATACACTTCATAAACATGACAGAATAAATAAATACAGAATTATGCATATAACCACATATATGACACAAAGAAACAACACAGTCTAGTTCAGATGTATACATGTACATGGCGAGAAAAACCAATCTTGTGAGTTTACCAGACGGATGACCTAGGGAATAAAACTGTTACAGAATCTGGTAGTCCTGCTAGAAATACTTTGAAACCTCCTCCCAGAGGGGAGCAACAAAAACAGACTGTGAAGTGGGTGTTTGGAGTCTCTAACAAGGCTTTAAGCGCTAAGCACAAAGTGCTTATAAGCAGCATCCTGAACAACGGGAAGCGAGCTTCCTATAATCTTCTCCGCTGTCCTCACCACTTTCTGTAGGGACTTTTTATCTGAGGCTCTGCCGCCACCAAACCAAACAGGGATGCATTTTGTTAAAACGCTCTCAATCGTGCCTCTGTAAAAAGTGGCCATGATGAAGGAGAAAGATGTGCTCTCCTCATCCAACTCAGGAAATGCAGACACTGAATACTGAGCGGAGTATGACTCTGCGGCTGCTTCTAAAATCTACAATGATCTCCTTTGTTTTATTAACATTTAGAACCAGGTTATTTTTATTGCACCTCTTCCCTATAAGCATCTTCATTGTTGCCTTGGATAAGACCCACCACTGCCTTGTCATCCATACAATTCACAATATGATTCGTAGTAGATTTGGCACAGCAGTCCTGGGTCATCAAGGTGGACAGTAGCGGACTCAAGCCTTGAGGGGAACCCATACTCAAGGAAAAGGTGTTGGAAACTTTTCTTCCAACTCACACAACTGCTTAAGAACTCACCCAGGGATGTTATCAGGACCCGCAGCTTTTTGAGTATTGTCTTCCTGCAGGACCTTCCAAGCAGCAGTTGTATCAAACCTGAGCACCTGTTCATCAGGAAAGGGAACAGCCTTCCTTGCTGGAACGTTGTTTGTGGCCTCAAACTATCCAAAAAACATTTAGCTTGTTTAGAAAATCAGCGTCATCCTTACATGTCAGGGAAGCTGCCTTATAGTTAGTAATAACCCAAACGCCTTGCCACATACGTCTCGGGTCCATAGGATCTTGAAAGAAATGGTGTACTTTCTGACTACAGGCCCACTTTGCTGTTTTCATAACACATCTCAAATCAGCTCTTGCTATTCTAAGTGCTACCACATCTCCTGATTTGAAAGTGTTTCTCACCTTCAACATTGCATGGACATCCTGAGACAGCCAAGGTTTCTCATTTGCTCGCATAACAATAGTTAGGGCCATTATAAAATAAAATATTGGAGTTATCGATGGACCAGATCATAGGCCTTCCAGATAACATGAAATTTGACCTAAAACTACAATTGTGACAGGAGTGGGGAGAACTGGCTGAGGGGGACAGATAGTCAGACACAGTTGCTTTATCTTTTTTCACATTAAGGCCATAATGTGAAACATGATGCAATAACACAAATTGCTTTTCTTTCCTTTTGATTAGGTTGCTAATGAGGATGTAGCAATAGATTGCCGACTTGGGCTGAAAGAGGGGCGGCCTTTCTCTGGAGTGACAGCATGCATGGATTTCTGTGCTCATGCACACAAGGACCAGCACAACCTTTACAATGGGTGCACGGTGGTAAGGGGTGCTTTCCTTGGTCTTCAGTTCTGCCTGTGAAATATTCCAGAAGGGCCAAAAGCTTGTTAGACTGTCTCAGGAAAGGCAATGAGCCTTAAAGATCGAAAAATAAAGCTTTCACAAACTCCTTCTCCTTCCAATTCAAGCCTTTGAAATATTTGATAACATGGATTCTAGTCTATGGATACTTCTGCCATAATTACTCTTCACTGCTATTTTCTAGTAAAAAATATAAATTTCACCCTTTGCATTTGAAAAATCACTTTACTCCACCTAGTTAGAATTCGTTTATACAAAATTGAAGGGTGGCCTTATCCAACTAGGCTCAATTGATGTTCTGTGTGGTAGACAGTAGAAGAAAAATTCTAAGAAACTTTTGGGAAATGCCATTAAACCAGGTATGTTGAGAGTGCAGACACAGCTTGAATTAATGTCAATTAAGGTTGGTTGTATTAGACTGAAGACATCCCTCTGAGGGTGAAAGATAGGGAGCTTTGCAACTGAACCCGAAATCAGTCACTATCACCCTGTGGTCTCTGGTGGGAAGCTGAACTGGAGCAATTCTAAATATGGCCAATGGTCACTTTGACACACGTCAAAATATAAGAGGCATGTGGCATCTCCCAGAACTCTGAACTTTGAAAATGCTGATTTGGAAACGTGAGAGCTGAAATGCAGCTGAAGGCACTGAGGCCATAGACATTAGGTGACACTACATTTTCAGTTGCTTTTGCTACGAGGGACTAACAAGATTATAATTCTCAAAGTTCATAATGTGCAAGTTGATATGATACAAGCCATTAATCTACTCAAAAAGGTTAGAGTAGAACAACTGACAGCATGATTGCAAAAGTCCTAGAAACGTTAATGAATTAGAGAAGCCTTTTAGATATGAATGGCTCTCTATCACATCTTTCCATCTTCCCATGGATGAGCTGGACTTGCCAAAATCTTTTAGTTCTTTCTCATAGGAAGAACTAAAAGATTTTGTTTTCCAGGTTACCTGCCAATCCTGTTCGCTGTCAGTTGTACTTCCTCCATGACCAATTTAAAGTATGGTGCTCAGAATTCCCAAGTGTGATCTAATCGGAACAGAGTAGACTGGAACCATGATTGTACTTCTTGTGATTTGGATTAAATGCTTCTGTCAGTGCAACCCACAAGTTTGATAGATATATTTTTTTTGCTGCTGTATCAAACGGCTTGCTTATATTCAGAGGGCGACCGTTGAATATATCCTCATTAGTAGTGTCACCAAGCCAGGTTTTCTCAGTTCTGAACAAGTGGTTTTTCCTACCAGGCATTTCCATTGGTCTCTATCTGGAAATAAAATTATTTCAATGAGATCTGCAGTTATAAAAGTTTTAAAAGCATCTGCAAGGAGGAATTCATATTGAATCATCAGAAAAAATATTCCTTTCCTTCAACTTCAGTGACTGCAATAATATTCTACTCATCAATTTCTCCCATCGTGCCAGTTTTGTTACACACCATCAATTTATATTAGAAATCTCTGGTTTCAAGAAAAAAAGAAGCTATTTCTTGATCAGCCACATTTTCATTCTCAGCAGAATTGTTACTTGTCCCTTTGGCCAGGATATAAAAAAAGGCAGGCTTTTTGTAGGCAATATGTGGATTTCTGCTGCCACACTATGACTCCCCACACTTGGTTGTTTTTTCCTCCCTCTCGGCAATCTTTATGCAGTTTGTTTCTTTTCCTTTTTCCACAAGAGCATGCTCTTGATTTGAGTCAGTAGAAAGGTAGACAAACGAGAAGGAAATCTTCTCCCCAAAACAAGACCAAAATGTTGATTTTTCCCTTTGCAGTAGTGGTAGGATTCCAGCAGTGCCAAGCAGAGGAAGCCCAGATTGCTGGAGCAAGAGAACCCATTTCCTTTTTTCTTCCTCGCGGTTCTTTTGTAGAAAATGTGTTTGTAAGCATGAGTACCTCCAGGAGTTTTGATTTCTGCTAGCAGGACCTGACTGATGTGCATTCATGGGACTTGGGGGTGTGCACATGAGAAGCAACTCCTGCAACTTTCTCCATGCTTGGCCAGAGCCCAGGATGTGGCTGTCAGGCATTTTTGGACTATGCAGAGGACCTTTTTAGATCGGCCCTCTCCAGCTGGATGCTCTTCACAGGTCATAGCTACACCTTCCTTGCTCCTCCAGCCAAAGGGGTTGCTGCAGTGCTGGCTGGACATGACAAGCAAGAGCTGAGGCTTGGGAAAGCGGTTGCAGTATTTTTGTATGTTGGAATTTCATGCATGGGTGACTGTTTTGCTTGCCTTTCCAGGTGTGCACCTTGACAAAAGAAGACAATCGCACTCCTGGGAAAATCCCGGAAGATGAGCAACTGCACGTTCTTCCCTTGTACAAAATGTCCACTACAGATGAGTTTGGCAGCGAGGAGAATCAAGCTGCAAAAATGGGCAGCGGGGCCATCCAGGTCCTCACCTCCTTCCCCAGAGAGGTGAGAAAGCTTCCTGAACCAGCAAAGTCTTGCAGGCAGAGGCAGCTGGAAGCCCGGAAAGCGGCTGCTGAAAAAAAGAAAATGCAGAAAGAGAAACTGATTACACCTGAAAAAATCAAGCAGGACGTCCTTGAGCTCCCGACTCTCCAACCGAATACAGGTAAGGGCAACAGAGGTTTTGTAACGGCCAGCCTTGGTAGCTGCAGAAAGGTTCAGCAAGCCAAGAAGGAAGCCTGGTCACAGGTCTGGTGGAGGGAGTCAGATGGATTCCTAGCAACAGGGTACTCCCAGGGAAGACATCTCTGGTGTCGTCCCAACACTTGAATGACTCACACCAAGGCTTCTGTACCGGCAGCTCTTGCTTTCCATACAAGTACGGTTGGTGGCGCTCAGGTTTGTTTGGGTGATTGGCTTAATAAGGAATGGTAGTCTGCTCCTTGTCATTGATTATCTTTTAGTTTCCTAGTGGCTGCGTTCCTGCTTCTGAAGAATGTAGGATGGTCAGATGGAAGGACACAGCTGAGAACGGGCCTCAAATTTGGCAGTCTCTTTCTGCTCCTCCTGCATGAAGGGGGACCAATTCAAGAGAGCCATGACACCCTCCCTTCCTGATTCAGTTAACTTACAGAGGCTGGAGGTTGCCTTCCCACCTTTTGCTGTCTACAATCTTCTTATCCATTATGGCATCTCGGGGTGCCTGTGTAGAAACATGGCCTGTCACCAGGGATTCCAGAATGCCTTTCAGGATGGTTTTTGTTAGAACAATCACCTGTATAATGTGAGGACCTGTTCTACAACAGGGTTCCCAAGGAGTTGCAATCTAGACGGTCCTATACATTTCCATTCTGCCTCAGCTTTTGCAGGTGGTATTAGGTGATGGCAAACAAAGTAATTGGGTTCCATTGCTAACCTTATTCACTTTTGTTTTGTTCGAATTCCTGTAAGTACATATCAGGTTATTAATCACCAGGAGCATAGCAGGTGAGAAAAAGCTGTAAGTGGTTGCCTAGTTTCCTCCTCCATTGGCTGGTCACATCAATTCTGTGAAATAGGTGAGGTTGAAAGAGAGCTTCTTAGCTTTATGGGTAAGCTTGATTGCCAATTTGAACTACAGTCTATCACAGTTTTTAATAATTTAAAAGATGCTCCCAGAATTCCTCAGCCAAGTCCATGGCCCAGATCTTCAGTGCTTGTGCTAAGGAAGCCAAAGTGACCCTGCAAATTCACATTGGTTCTTTTTGTGCACCTGCAGATACAGCTTTGAAAAGTGGATTCTCCCAGCCATCCATCAAATCTTCCATCAAGGTGGAACCTCAGAGTCATTATAATGCCTTGAAGTACAATGGGAATGCGGTGGTGGAGAGCTACTCAGTACTTGGCAATTGCAGACCCTCTGACCCATACAGCATGAATAGTGTTTACTCTTACCATTCATACTATGCACAACCTAACCTGCCTTCCATGAATGGGTTGCATTCAAAGTTCTCTCTTCCATCTTTCGGGTATTATGGATTTTCCAGCAACCATATGTTCCACTCCCAGTTTTTGAATTATGGTGAGAACAAGAATGCACCCTGGATAAGCAGCCCCTACGAGACGAAGCCTGACGTCCAAAACTTACAAGATAATTTGAGCCATGCTTACAGAAATACTGAACTACTGGATGACATACCAGCCACCGTACGGAGCAAAAATCACCATCAGCGCACCTACGAGAAAGCCAGCAGACATACAAGCAAGAACCCAGCTGTGCCCCAGAGCTGTCACTCAGTCCCTGCAGAAGCCTTGTCATTTGCACAAAACACAAACTATTTCAGCAACCGAACAATCAAGCAAGAACCAATTGATTCCTTGGCTCACCCGGAGTCCCTTTCTCAATCACCTGCTCTCAATGGCCTGAATTCAAACTTGAGCCCATCTGATTTATTCAGGTTATCTCAGAATGGTGGTCCAGAGCAACAATGGAGCCCTTATAAAGTCAACAGAAATCAGTCCCAACCTGAGAGAAATAGTAATGCTGAAACCTCGTGGAACATGTTTACACCAAATGACAGTGTCAGCATGCTTAATGCAAGAACCCAGAATAAATCAAATTTGTTTGGTTCCCATTCAAATGTTAGCAGGTTATCACAATCCTGCCTTATGGAGAAGCAGTGGAATTTGTTTCCTGGGGAGGGGCAGAATCTGTCACCTAGCCCTGATATACTAGGGAAATCATGGAGCCCTTGCAAAGTTGATGAAAGCCCATCGCTGTTTTCTGCCAACTCAGATCTTCAGGAGAAAGCCTGGGGTCTCAGACAATTGAACTACAGTTCCATCAAAGGAAGCTCCAGGCTTCAAGATGAACTTTGGCATTCTAGTAAAGGAGAGGAGAGGAGAACTCCAACACCAAACGCAGGTTTACAGAGCAGATCATGGACTTCCTTTGCGTCATTGCCCTCTACAACCTCAAGTGTTTGCGGGGAGAAGCCCCCATTTGCTTCCTTGAGAGAAGAAGGAAGTGCGTCATTGCTGGGGGCTGAAAGACCCTGGGATTCCTTTAGTTTGGATGACAGCATGGAAGAAACACCCGAGAAGAACATCAAGGAGGAAGAGGAGGAGGAAGAGGAAGAGGTCTGGTCAGACAGCGAACACAACTTTTTGGATGAAAACATTGGAGGGGTGGCAGTAGCTCCAGCCCATGGCTCCATCCTCATTGAGTGTGCAAGGCGAGAGCTGCATGCCACCACCCCACTGAAGAAACCAAACCGATGTCACCCCACACGCATCTCTCTGGTATTCTACCAGCACAAGAACTTGAACCAGCCCAATCACGGACTTGCCCTTTGGGAAGCAAAAATGAAACAGCTGGCAGAAAGGGCAAGGGCAAGGCAAGAGGAGGCAGCCAGGCTTGGCCTTCAGCAAGACATCAAAAGCCTTGGCAAGAAGCGGAAGTGGGGAGGCAACTTGGCCCTCGAGCCCCAACAGGAGAAGAAAGACTTGGTCCCAAAGAGGCAGGCCTTGGCCATTCCCACCAACTCGGCAGTCACAGTGTCCTCTTACGCTTACACCAAGGTAACAGGGCCGTACAGCCGCTGGATATGAGAAGAGGACAGCTCTCCGGGGCCACTTTACCTCAATGCGGGCAGCACTCAAAGGCGGTGCTGGTCTGTGGTGCTTTTTCCTTTGGAGAGAAACAGAATATCAAGCCAGGTGTGAAGTTTCTCTACTGTCACTTGGGAGTTGAGTTAAAGAAACTTATTGCTGTCAACCTTTTTTCAGTAATCTAGTATTTATATCTTTGCATTTTAAACCTGTACATCACAGTAACGACAAAAGAAGTTTATAGTGTCCTTTTAAAAAGGACAGCTTTTTAATTCCATGTCCAATACTTATGTATGTTGGATTTTTAACTGCAATTATTACAACTCTGAAGCAGATTATGTGATTCATAAAAAGGCAACACCCCACAACAAACCAGGTACAAATTTGCACCTGTTGGGGCTAGTATATAACTTCCTTTGAAGACCACCCAGAAACACGAGTTTCCAATTCAATCAAAGGACTGTTTGAATAGAGTTCAGTGGTTGATGCATGTGGTTTCTTACTGATTCAGTAGGTCCCGGTGGCTGGGAAGATACGGAGAGAAGGCCTATGCCATTGCAGATAAGCAACCGTGTCCTGCTCAGTTGTCTGAACAATGTTTAAAACGGTTCACTTGACATTGCTTTCTCTGCTTCAGATCTCGGTAGGATGAGCTGGACCCTTACTAGTCTTCTACCAGATCCCAAACAGTACCATAAATAGTAAAGCTTGAGCATAAAAAAAGGAAGGAAAACAGGACTATGAGATCTACCAGCAGATACATTTTGCTTTTGTAAATTTCAAGGCACATTTTATCTCTATCATCAGGTAAAAGAAAAAGATAGTGATTTACACCGCAGGCAGTATTTTACTGCTCCATTTTAAATAATTTATTCAGTGAGTCCAGTTTAATTTGGAAGGAGAAAAAGTTTTTAAAATGAAGTTCTCACGGAGAAGGGGGGAAAGGAAATGGAAGTGGAAGGCAAGAAAAATCCAGGGAAAGCCAACTTAGGTAAAATAATCGTTGGCATCTTGATTTCTTGCTCGATATTCTGCGAGATGAATGAAACTCCATTGTAAGGACATTTCTTTTTTTCTTTTGTTAGCAGTGCTATTTAACCTAACTTTTAAGTTTGCAGTACTGTACAATATAATTATGCTAATTTCCTGGGATGGGGAACTAGTTATGCTTATAGTGACAAGCAATGCTAATAATAAATGGCAGCTTAAACTACTGTATCTTTAAGAAACCACTCTACATTACCTTCAGTGGGCAAATAGATAACCTCTTTTTTTTTTCTTTTTATCATGTCTGGTGCAGTCGGATTAAAAGGGGGACTTCTTACTGTATTTTCCAGTGGTGCAGGCTTACCAAATTAAGATAGTTCCCCTTACAAAATTTGTCCTAAAATATACACAAACTTATTGTAAGATTTATTTTACTTTGCCGCCTTTGAGAGGAAAGGAGATGTAAACTTATGTGGTAACTAATTCAGTATAGCATAGCTGGTGCTTTGAAAATGTTGAATCCAGTGTTTAAAACTGATCTATTCTTCTTAGCCTTCTTTCTCTTAATAAGATGCCTGATCTACATAGGTGGCTACAGATCTCTGGAGCTAGACATCCCTTGGCCGAAAGTGATGGTGGGAGAGCAGCCTTCCTAAATTAGAATGGAATTCAGTTCAGTCCGGTCTCATCATTTTACTTAAACTACATAAAAAATAGCTTTGGGCATTTCATTTGTTTTAATGATAGAAGTATAAATGTTTTAAATTGCCTGTCACGAATAAGTGGATCTTTGTAAGGTTTTTCTTCAAATCATTTGAATTTCACCCTTTACTAGAAAAGCTCTGAGCTAGAGCTATTTGCCTAGCTAGTTTTAAATGCTCCCACCGAATCTGTGTGGAAAATACCCACTGAACTCCATGGAAATTGGAGATGGGAGCTCTCAATCCTGGAGGTGGCACCTTCGGAACATTTCCACACCCTCTTTTGTGCCATCTTCAGATTGGGTGGTGGCAACCCTCGCGATAAATTTAGGAATCCTTGCCACCTTTTACTACGGGTCTTTCTGTAGAAAAATGGAGATCTCACTCCTTCACCAGAGTAGATCCCCACTGGCTTTAATAAGCCAACATGAGTGGTTTCTCAGTGGTGCAGAAGGCAGAAGAATCAAACCTGTTCAAGATCCCCTTCTGAACTTAACCGGTGCCTTTTGAGAAAAGATGGCTTGCAGATTCAACTCTGTACATAGCATTTGTTTACTAGGAAACTTTCTCAGTCCTTGCACCTCGCAACAGGAGTAACGGGGGGGGGGGGGGGGGGGGGGGAATCACTGTAGAGCATCCTGTGTGTTTTATGTGGTTCTGATTTTAAACTGTAAATAGCAAAAAAAAAATTAAAATTAAAAAGCACTTTCACCAAGATTTAAAAGAAAGAGATACCCAATAACTTGAAGAACAGTATGTTTTAAAACAGATTATTGCGGGAGAAATGTAAATAGAAACAAAATATTTAACAAGCTTTTCCGTCCTTAATTTCTTTTGTTTACTATATTCTGTAAAATTGCTTACATTTTGCAAGAAGAATCAATGAATTATAATTGATTTTGTATGCATACCTATGAGCATATCCTAGCTGTTAAGAATGATTCCAAGGCAGATTTATAGGAAATGTTCTGAGTGTCATAGGATTATACTGGCACCAGCCACTAATTTTCCACTGGTGTCGATCTGCCAGGTTTCAGGGCATCTGCACCAGAGACTCAATTAAACCCAAAGTAAAAATGTTGGTTGATCATTTGTTCAGAATTGTATCACTTCAGAGTCCAGGTGCAGGGAACTACAGTTTTAGAGCCGCTTTGTTTCAAATCAAGATGCTTGGCAGAAGGGGAAGTATTGAGAAGAGGTTGCTTTCAAGCAAAGGAAATAAACTGGTCGTTGCAGTCCGTAATGGTTCCATCTAGAAGCCCCTCTGGACAACCACTCCCCAGACACCATTTCTCTGCCTTGTTAGGCCAACTTCATGCCTGTCTGGCATTGATGGTTATGAGGTGGATCTATTAACTAGAAAAGAATCTCTTCCGCCCCAATATTTTGTATGGTTTGTTTAAGTGTATGTAAATTCCTTGGTTTAGTGTCTTATTTGGTAAATGTTGCTGGGGTGACCTGAAAGCTTCACTTAGATTATTTTAGAGAACAAGGATTTGTAAAAGTGTATGGAAAAGAAGGGGCTCCAATATATCTGACTTGTTGAAATAATGTTATTCAACTTCTGTCTTTGGAACTGTCCAGCCTTGAGAGTATAATTTTCTGAGCTGGAAATGTTGTCCTTTGGATCTTTCACCAAAGGAGGGTTCCATGTTCCGAGTCTTCAAAAACCAGGAACTACCTGAGGGTCAAAAGGTGTTGAGCTGGTAGTTCCCTATTTGGTCCAGATCAGTTTATACAGAGAAAGGGAGAAATGCAAAGGTCGGCTCCTCAACCTGTTTTATTTTCACCAATAATCAAAAAGGACCAAATTATGTTCTTCCTTCAAACTTGTGCAACTCCAAAGCAAGTTAAACTGGAATCACTAGTTTTTACTGAAATAGCATACCTTTTAAAGGCCTGAATGACTGTGGTACAAATATGAAGAAATCTGGTCAGAAGTCAGTGTTAAATCTATAGAATGTGAATGCCATCAAAATTTGGCACATTTGTTATTTACTGCAGTTCAAAATCACAAAGTAAACATGGACAATACAAAATACAAATAAAAAACACAGAAAACAGAATTACCATGGATTTCATGGTTGATTATACTTTTTCACATGCCTAATTTAACATAAAGATGTTTTAAGTAAAAACAAGACTGATCCCAGATAAATTTATGTTTTTAATGCAAAAAGCCAGCTGCAGTCTGAGGTTGTTTTCATGCTATATATAAAACCTACCTCGTATCTCAGTTGTGAAAAAAAGTTTGATTCAGAATTACATGTGAAAGATAGATCTATGCACGGGATTCTCTGCTTTAGCTTTGTGTTTAGAAGTTAGAAATTCTTGTCATTGGCTCTGTCATTTTCTTCTGGTTTGTACAATTCAGAAAATTGTATGACGTGCTTTATTTGTATTTAGAAGTGTATGGGTAAATGGCATCTGAAGGCTCAAAGATATTTTTACACATGCACGCACGCACGCACCCCAGTCCTGAGATCTTAAAGTAATTTCTTGGGAAGTCGAACTCAACTCACAAGGAGATCTGTAGGGCTAACAGTGCTATTAATTTCTTTCAGTAAGCTTGGTGAGCACTGCCAGTTTGCACTGGTGACTGAATAGCCTAAGACGTAGGAAGTCAAGGTGCTAGGCACCCTGGTCATTGCATTGTCTTCTCTAAAAGCATGAACAATTGCTCCAAGCACTGTCTTTTGAACGGACGCGTTAAGTGTAGCTGAACATTCATAAATCAACAGCAAAATAAATAAATATAATACTGAAATGTATTTGAGGAGGTGTAATGATGAGCTTAACCCTGGTGCTATAAATGAAAAAAATCCACAATCCCTGGAAAAATTCTTGAAACATTGAATTGTGTTGCACATGAAGACTTGGCTAGTTCTCACTGACTTCTCTGGGAGGAGGTTGTTTGGCTATAGGACATAGTCTCTGCTTTGGGCACTTGAATATCTTTTTGTCAAATCAGGAGTTGTTCCTGTCAGTCATTGTTTATGCACAAAGCATGGAAGGGTCAAGTGGTAGATGATGAGCATTTGTCATAATTCCTTTACCAGTTTTTCAGCTTGACTGTTGGTCTGTAAAACTTGTTACAATCTTTTCATGGGCGTGTGTCTCCTTGTTGCTGCTCTGTGATAAGTAGGCAGCTAAGAAGCTTCAAAAGAAGACATCACAGTGCATGCCTTCCTTGCCCAACATGTGCCCCCCCCCCCCCCGCTCCCCCATGTGCACGGATTCCATTACCTTCAAGTGAGTGGGGAAGACTGGGAAGGCTCCCACTTGCCTAGGCTAAGCTCCCACTCAACTAAAGGCAAACAAGGAAGAAACAAAAAATATTCTGAGATAATACAGCTGATGGTGCATAACGCCAGAATGTGCTTTGTAGGCTCATTCAAAGGCATATTTTTAATCAACTAAAATCTTGTAATAAAAAGGTGCTACCTTGATGAGTTCTTTAAAAACAAGTTGCTTTTTAAGGTGAGGGAACAGATTCCATCTTGCTTAGGTGCTATTATCTAACCAGAGAACTCTACAATTAAGTAAAAATAGAAAAGTTCGGTATTTTAAATATTTGTAGTTTCTAAAACTTCTGTTCTGGATCTAAAAAATAATAACTGCATAATCTGATTTTATTTACAGTTCTGCACTCCTAGGGCTGGTTCTGAGAATGTAAGATTTGTATTTGTACAAAATTAACATCTCTGGAAAGGGCTTTTGGGATCAAGCCACAAGTTGTTTGATACAAATGGGTACATAAAAACCAATTTCTTTAAAATAAAGGCAACAAGGTACTGCAAACTGTACTCACAGTAACACTTGTGCCAATTTAGCAAGTGTGCATGGTGCAACAATCCATATTACTGTATATTGGTAACTATTATGCAAAACTATGGGTGCTTAATTGAAGTTTTGAGGTCACTCCAAGAGAGCAGCTATTTGTAAAAGCAGTGTAGTTGCCACCTTACTTGGCTTGCTGGCTTGCTTTCATTGTTAACAGCAAACAGAGCTGTCACTCCAGTGCTGTTTGCCTTACCCAAGGAAAGTCCTCATTGGACCATATTTACACCTCAATGTGAGCATATTTATTGAAGTCATTATCGGTCAAGAGTCCAGCCTGTTACAGGCTAGGTTTGGGCAGGTGGTGTGAATGTGGATCTGATCATACAAGGCTGGCTAATCTTTAGTCTAATAAGTCAGTTTCAATCTGCTATTATGGCTTTGTGTATTTACTATTTGTAAGTAGATGTGTTTAAAACTTTTACAAAATACTATTTTGGTGCTATTTATTTTCCATTTCTTCAGTCTCTCTCTTTCACTTTGGTTCACAGTATTTGCTTAAAGTGTATAGAATCAGGATTTTCTCATATAAGCTTGCTGTTACCACAATACATTCAAAATACCTCAGAAAACAGAGTATTGTGGCAACCTGTGATTCAGTTATAAATAATGGCATGGCTGCAAATATTAGAAATAAGGTTATGTATTTTATTAATTCAACACTGTACTTGACATCTTAGTAACTGTACAGCCTTTTGCATTCTATTCTTGGGCAATTTCTCACCTTCAATGAACCATCTTGAGGAATAAATATTCTAGAGCATTTAAGAGATGGTACCTTCTTGACAGTATGCAGGGCCTTCAGGAAGTAGCTCATAGCAGAATGTGACCCACAAGAGAAAATAGTTTTAGAAATAACATCTTAAGAAAAATATTATCAGTAATAAAATAGGTGTTTTAATTGATAGGTTTAAGCAAGTTCTTCTCTCTTTTTCTGCAAAAACAGTTTTCTTATAAAAGTTTTTGGGACAGGTTCAACAGGATCCTGGTTTTATTATTATGCATAAACAAAAAGGATCGGACTTTTCAAAGCTACCATATCTGGTGATTCTTGTGTGGCTGATTAGTAAAATGAAAGCAAGATCAGTGCTGAATGATGATGACAAAATTTAACCCAATGTGCAAAGGTTAGTTTGTGATATACCCAACTAGGTTAAACCTTCAGTAAAAGGTACCATTTTACACTTTTAATATCTGTAACATTGTTTTCAAGATGGCAAAATGTAGCTGTTACATTGAACACCAAACTAATTTTATTGCTGTCCCTTTTAAAAGCAGTGAATGCATTGAGATTTTTTTGTATGCAGAAAAATTATTATTACATGGTCAAAACAGGTGGGTTTTTAAAAAAATATTTATTCTTCCTGCCCAAGCATAGTAAAGCAAACTGGCTTATGTTTTCTTCTGCTCCAGTATCAGGGATTTATTGTTATTTTACGACTGATTTTTGGTTGCTTTTTTTCATTTTAGCACCTGCTTTTGGAGATTTACTCCCTGCTAATCAGTCTATGGAAATATCTATTTAGGTGGCTTTTGGCATTTATTTTTTGTTCATATCTGTCTTCTAAACAAATGTTATATCAGTCTTTTAAATGCTTTTTTAATTTAAAGAAATGAGGAAAAGACCAGTTTGGATTTGGCAGACTAATTCAGTTTAGTTAACCAAAAGCTGTGACTACTCAAGGGGTTGGATTTCTTGTCTCCTTGAATTCACATTTGGTAAACGAGACCTCCAGAGGAGGCCACCTTGTGACCACACCTGAAGATTTATTTCTTGATTTGACTGTGGCTACTTGAAATGAAGTTTTATTTGGGGTTGGTTGACAACGGTAGATTTACAATGTCTCAAGGCAATAGGACTTGTGTATTAAACTGTAGATAACCTTAGTACAGTAAGTCTATGCTGATAATTTTATTTTGTATAATTTCCTTGTATTTTTTCTTTCATACTTTTTTCCCCATCAATGTCTTGGCAAATTTATTTCTAGGATGCAAAAAATGGCAAGTATGAATCTTTCTTTTTTTTAATTTGTATTTTATTATGTTACACAGCCAACTGGTTTGTGAAATGTATTATTCCGGATATCTTTAAACTATTGTGGGTGTTTTAATAAATTTTATATTTATTTTTTGCACTCAAATTCAGTGTGTTTTTCTCCCAGTCAACAAATACAGGGCTGTCCTGTTCAGGATACGTGGTCCACAGATCTATCCTCTCATGCAATCCCAATCTATTTTTATTTTAGCTTTGTCTCTCATTTATTTTTCCTCACAAAATAGCTTCTCTTTTCATTGCATCCATTCCTTCCCTTATCTGAATTCCCAGCCCTTCTTCTGAGAAAGGCCACTGAATTGGTCGCCACCATTCCATGGGCTACCACTTTTGGGTTCATCTTGGTATTTTAGACTCTACTCAACCCATCCCCCTAAAAAAACACTTTTGTGCCTTTTAAAAGGCATTTTGAATTTAAACACTGTAAATATGTCCATTTACAAATCCAAGGGGAGCACGTTACTAAATGCAGTTGAATTTGATCAGGATCTAGGATAGGCTATTTATGAGACTGTTTTCATCAACTAAATGGCATATTGCAAGGGTGGCTTTGGCTACTTATGTTCAGGCAACATCATTTTTTGAAACAGTTCTGGACCAAATACAGGCAATTGATTCCTTAATGCTAATGGTTAGTCAGTCTGGGATGACACAATAAGTTTAAGACAAGCCATCACACAGTTTGCAGCTTGTGATTTAGTATGCTCAGTGAACTCAGCCAATTGTGATTTTCAGTAAGCCATAGTTAATCAAACCATGTGAACCTAACTATTACTTATCTAGTTAATTCCAGCCTTGGATAAAACAGAAACAAGAACAGCCAATTCATCTTCTGATTCTAGACAAAAACACCACCACCATGTTTATGGAGATTCAGGCTACCAGCCTGAAGCACCTGTTTGACTGCTCAGTTCACGTGACTGACAGGCTCAGTTTCCTTTTAGAGAGAACTTGAGTCTTTTCCTGAGGGTCTGGTGGGCAGTTTGAGACCCTAGTCATGGCCTAGAATGGGCAAGAGATTGGGCCCTTGGACTATATTGCTCCTACATGGCCTCTCCCTGGGTGGCAATCCCAAGATATATCCTGATTTACTGAGGAGCTTCAGGAATTGAAGTGCAAGAAGAGACACAAGGATGATAACTGGAAGGAAGGAGGGGTGCATCTGATGCAGCCTGAGTAAGAACCCCTATTAGGCATTACATCATGGGGATTACAGTGGTGAAACGTTTCTATTCTCCCACCTGCATCTGCCAGTAGCAGTCTGGCAAAACAGGCCACAGAATCCATAGACAGCAGTGGTGACAAGCTTGAATATAATTATTCATTTAGGGTGTGGCATATAATACATGGACCAGCAATATATATTAACATTTCATCTAGATTAGTAAAACACAATAAAATCTAAATATTAAAAAAGATCTGTGTTCAAATATCAATGTCTAGGTCATCTAACCATTGAAGCACAGCATTGTTTGTTAAAGTCAGATACTGGACTGGTATATGCCCTCAGCTTACAGCCGATCACAATGAATAAATACATCAAGACATTAAATCAGATAGGAACTAGATATTACCAATACATAAAAACATACAAATGGCTTTGTTTTCAATATATATGTAAATATCTCTGGTTCTGCAGTACCACTGTAACTGAATGGTTGCTTAACAAATGGTTAAGTCATGGACTATATTTGAACTAGTTTTGGTCAGGTTTCAGTCTGCAGGCAGAGTTCATCATATTTGTTGATGACTTATGGTAGAGCAGGGACAGAGTTGGTGCATCCAGCCTCAGGCTCCCTGACCTCCCAGCACCTTTTGATATTGCTGACCATCCTTTTGGACTGGCTTCAGGGGTTGGTGGTGGGCCCGCATTTGTGGAGGATAACAGGGGTACCCCTTCTCTTTAAAACCTACATGAAAAAGCTGGGTGATGTTATCTGCCAACCTGGAATCAGGTATTATCAATATGCAGATGATACTCAGTTCTGAATCTCTCACCCTAACTGGTTAAAAAATAATGAATGGAAACTTATCAAGGAGGAATCCAACTTAGAATTAAGGAGAAATTTCCCAACAGTGAAAACAATCAATGGAACTGCTTCCCTCCAAAAATTGTCTTCTGTCATTGGAGGTTTTTAAGATGGACAGCCATTTGCCTGGAATGGTATAGTTATTCTGTCTCTCATGTCCTACTTACCTCTCAGCTGGTCCAGAATGCAGCAGCATAGGCAGTGACGGGCAGGCACCACGTTATCCACACATCACATATGTGAGATCCACATATCACATAGGCAGTGAAAGGGGCACCACGTTATCAGCACCTCCAGTGGCAGGAGGATGATCTTGAGACACCCATTCCCTTGCAACATGACTCCTGGATGCCTGAAGGGCAGGAAGAAGCCAAACCCTCAGATGGAACTGTCATCTGAGAAAGCCTCAGACTGGACCTCTTGAAGAGGAAGGGGCAAGCACGCTCAGACATGCAAGATGCAGGTGTTGTAACATTATTAGATTTTTAACACATTTTTTAAAAAAATAAAAGGTCAAGGTGGTGTGTCTAATAATCCTGCTTCCTATTTTCCCCACAACAGCCCTGCGAGGTGGGTTGGGCTGATCAGGAGCCACCCGGCTGGCTTTCGTGCCTCAAGCAGGCTAGAACTTCCTGTCTCTTCTCCAGTCTCTCCACTACACCAAAATAAACGGCCCTTTTGCAATAAAAGAAGTACAGGTAGTCCTCGATTTACGACCACAATTGAGCCCAAAATTTACGCTACTGAGAAATCTGTTGAATTTTGCCCCATTTTACGACTTTCCCTGCCACAACCGTTGAGTGATTCACTGCAGTTGCTCAACTGATAGCAGGTGGTGAAGTGCATGAACTCTTCCCCAAGGGATGTGCCTGTCAGGAAGGGGCAAAGGGGCTTGACCGCGGGACCCCGGGGTACTGCGGCCGTCGTCAGTGAGAACCAGCTGCCAAGCATCCGGATTTTGGCCACGGGGCCGCTGCAGCCGTCAAAAGTCGTTTTTTTCAGTACCGCTGTAACTCTGAACGGTCACTCAACTGTTGTAAATCGAGGACTACCCGTATCGGTCTGCATGGCTGCGCTTTTTTGGGCCGCTCTCCAAAGGGCAAGGGAACCCCGGCTCCTCTCGGGGGCCTCGGCGGATGACAGGGGGCGGCCCGCACCCCTCCCACCCACCGCTCGCCCCCCGCCAACGCTCGCCAGGGAGGGGGCGAAGGCCGGGGGGGGGGGGGGGAAGGGAGGCACCGTCCTCGCCCTTCAGTCTACGCGTCACCGACGCGCCCTGAAGCCGCGCTTAGCGACGGTGTGAGCATACGTCACCAGCCGACGCCGGAAGGCCGCGCAGACCTCTGACGTCACGGCACCATGGCCGCTGCCGCCTGGTTTCCCGCCTGCAGGAGGAAGGTCGGTGTCCGATAGGGAGCCGGGGAGGCTCTGGCGGAGGGCGACCCAAGGGATAAAGACGGCCCGAAGGGGGGAATCTCTCGCTGTCTTCCCTGCGCACCTTCAGGATCCCGGAGCGGAGTCCCGGGGAGGGGGCTTCGATCCACCTTAAGTTGCTGCTAAGCAGAATCGTTTCCGTTTCCCGCAGGTGGCTTTTCTTCTGTGCCGCGGAGAGCGATCTTTTGCTTCCCAAACCGAGGGGGAAATCCGGGTGACCCGAGTCCTTCAGGAGAAATTCCCCCAGGCTGTTGTGATTAAAGTCGTCGATATCTCAGGTGAGGTGAGACGTTTCTCGCTAGGTCCCTGCTGAAATCTCTCTGGGGGTTTTCTGCGATGATCTTCATGCGGGCCGTCTCATTCAGAACTGTGGGATGTGAAATGGAGGATTTATCTGCTTATTCTACCGCCGTAGCTCGTCTTCCCTTCAGAGTGATCATTTTACTGCATCCGATTTGAAGAAAGGTGTTGATTGGTTTTTCATTGCATTTATAATCTTAATCCTTAGGTTAAGATTGAGTCCATCTTTTTTTACCGTTAAATTTACAGTAGATTTTGAAAGAGTTCCCAAATGATTGAAATGCATTAGCAAAATAATCCAGTGACACAGCTAGTCAAACAGCACATAAAATGTCCACATTGTGAAATATATGATGATAATTTGTAGAATGCAAGCAATATTATATTGATTTAGAGAGATCTTAGCTGACACAGAATAGTGTGAACTTGCTTGGGGTAAATCTGTTAAGTAATTGTATACTGAATGTGATATATTGCGCAACATCTTCAAATTGGTATAGTCCTTGCAAATTATCAGGGAATACTGCATATAGTGGCTGCTTATGCAATTGAGGCTTGTACATTATGCTATTTTTTTCTAACTTACTAAAAAGCATTTTTAGACAGCATTTATTAACCAAAGGCACAATGAATGGAGAAGATCAAGTTCTAGGTCAGAGTTCTCTAACCTTTTTGGCTTTGTAGACTGGGAGAGGGGAGAAGGAAAGGGGATGGATCTGCATGACCGGTGGGCATGCAAGCAATAGGCATGAGTGCACACAGCTCCACTTGTGTGCCCACTACTTCTATACACCATCCCCTCCCCTCCACCAGCATGCATTCTCACCCACCATTTCCACAACCCGGTTCTGAATGGCTCAGGGCCTGGTAGTGGGCCGTGGCCCCGGGGATTGGGGACCCCTGTTCTACATGATCTAGTCATGCCTATGATGTATTGAAGATTGCCACTTGCAGTGTAAGAAGAGTAAATGACAGAATGAATTTATGACTGAAAGGAAAAAAATATGCATATGTGAATTTGAAAGCAAGGGTAAGCTATAATAAATCTAAAAGGAAATGGTCTGATTCTTGGCGCTGATAAATAAAAGCAGAGAAGTGAAAAATATGTTTAATGAATTCATTAATGAATGAATGGGCTAAAATATAGGCTAGAGAGTATGAATTGGTGGTATCTAAATTGTAAGTTAGTTGCATGTGAAACTAAGTGTATGTTATTCTCCATAAAAGTCACAATGGAAGAACCAGAGATGAGTTTTGGGGAAAATAATGCAACATTCTCAATGACTGCAATCTGGAGAGAAAAAGGTTCTGATATGAATGGATGAGTGGAACAAAATGAGAGGCAGCACTAAAGCTGGGCCTTTGAAAGTCCCACATCTCACTAAAGGTGCTGATTGTTTGGTGAGTTTCTTTTTAGAAAAATGTATGTTTTTAACACATAGATTAAGCATAAACAGAATAACTATAATTCTAAAATCATAGTTGGTTTGATTGTTTTTAATGAATTGAGAGTTGGTGAAGGATACATACAAGATGATGAAAACATACTAAATGTGAGACAAAGTAGAGTGACTGTATTGAACAATCCATAACGATCATAGAGCATAAATTTTCTGTGAAAAACATTACTCTCTCAACGAAATTAATGAAAAGTAGATAAAAATGTGTAGAGTGACAAGAATGATATTACACGAACAGAAAAAATGACGAGACAGAGTGACATAATGGTGGCTTCATGCTTATATATGTCCATTTGGATGGACCTCCTAGAAGAGAGTTGAATCAAAAATCTTGATCCCAATCAAAACACCATAACAAAAAGTCCAAATGAAATAGAAGCTTTGAATATCAACACTTTCTGGATGAATACAAGATAAAAGGTTAGTGAAGTATCTGAGAAGCATGTGGGATTATTCCAGTGGAATGTATGAAAAAAATATTCTTGGCAAAATGAAGGAAATTCTGGATGAGAAAAAAATAGTGTGAGAGACTGAAGATTAAAAATGCACAACACTTTTGATGGAAATAAAAAGTGATTTGGAAGTAGATGAGAGCTAACACTACCTGCTTCATAGCTTCTTCCGAGGGTAAGAGTGTCAGCCAATTGGCTCAGTGCCTAAGGCAGGCGTAGAACTTACAATCCCCTCACTGCTTGCCTGATACTTTCACCAGTTCACCAAACCAGGTTTCCTTGGATGACGGAATATTGTACAAATGTGGAGGAAGTGAATACTGCAAATGGAATTGACGGGTAAATACATTGGTATTGAAGAGGGAATAAGACTAGGGTGTGCACCCTTGGTTAATTAATGCATTTTGGATAAATATATGGATAAGTACTCTGGAAATAATTAAAAAGTTTGGTTAAGATGGTTGTTAGTCAGGAGATATGCATGACGATGTTCATTTGTTTTTAGATATGGTTTTAACTGAGAATCCAACTGACCTGTAGTAAATATTAGTCTGAACTATACCTAAAATGAGCATCTTGTCCCATGTTATTCAAAAGATGCTTCCTAAATGATTTATTTACTTGGTTTTTTTCTGCTTTTGAGCTACTGCTTTCTACATTCAGTTTACTTATTTCCCATGATAGGAACATTTAATCTCTACTTAAAATAGTCTTAATAAGATTTAAAAATGTGAAGTTTAAACTGATGAAAAGATTGAAGCATGTTAATCCCTAAATGTGATAAAATCAACTTGTTTTGTCAAGGTGGTTGTGGAGCAATGTACGAAATACATATAGAATCAGAAGAGTTTAAGGAAAAGAGAACAATTCAACAGCATCAGATGGTTAATCAGGTAAGCAGGTGGACCTTAACACTGTGGGAATTCTACGGGACCTTTGGATTTCAAGCATTTCCAATTATTGACTCCTCCAGACTTCATGCATGCCTCTCTTATGATTCTTTTGCATTGTTCAGATGTCTTAATTTTAATTGAGAGGAGCTCTGCTCTCAAAGGTGGCTTAGAAATACTGTTATAAGTAAAGTGAAAACTGCTATATTTGGGCTTATTTCTTATTCTATAAATGGATAGCTTCTATATTATATGTTGCCAGTTTGTGCCTGAAATTATTTTTTTCTTTTTCTTTCTGTTTACAATGCCTCCTTCTTCTAGGCTCTTAGTGAAGAAATTAAAACAATGCATGGACTGCGGATTTTCACTTCTGTTCCCAAGCACAGAATTGACTGATAGCATATGAAAACTGCCTTTCAGAAGTTGTGAGAAGATGCCCACTGGAAAAATCATAAAACTAGTGGGTTGTATTCCTGTCTTTCCCCCTTCCAATCACCAATGCCTGGTTTCAGCAGCAAAGTTTATGTCAGGTTGAAAATTTAGCTCATGTAATTGTATTAGTTTTTTTCAAGAGGACTAGTTGAACTTACAGTAAAAGTCTCCTTATCCACTGTATTAAAGCCAAGAATGAAAAAGAATAGGAAAAATATTTGCAACATGATCTTGCTCTTATTTTAATTCAAAACTCTTATCATGGCTCAGATGGAAATTCACTTGAAATATAACACAAATGCCTGCTGCTTTTGTTGAAGTTTCTGATAATGGGGGATGTTAATAATTGTAGACTCACAAGTATTATAATTGCTTGAAGTCTAAAAAGCCTTTTTTATAAAAAGGCTGCTTTTATACCAATTCTCGGACAGTCTAGTTTTCTAAGATTATCGTTAAAACAATCCTACTAATGCATCATCATTAGCTATGGGCAGGACTGCCTTTTCCTTCTATTAAGAAGGTGACATCTGTTGATCTATTTATTACTTTAAATGTAATGCCAAATAAGGTAGAGTTTTAATGAGAAATAGTTTGACATTATAGCATTCTGAAGGTGGGAAATAAATTTAAATGTCATTTTTTTCTTCTAATTCGATTATAAAGCCCTACATCCTGATCTCTTTCTGGAAGGACTCTGCATGCTTAAAATGTTATTTGGAGGTTTGCAGGTAATCTTTGGTTAATGACCATTTCTTCAGAGTGATGACTGTGGTGAATGAAGAGACTTGAGGCTGTTGCAACATCCCTGGAATCACACTATTGCAATTCAGTCACTGGGCAACCAGCTCACATTTACAATGGTCCCAGTGCCACATGGTCAGGTGATCTCCACTGCTGGCTTCTGAAAAGTGAAGTCAGTGGGGAAGCTGGCAGGCGGTCACAGGTGGTAACGTACTTAATGACTGTGGAGCTTCTGGCATAAGCCAGCACAGTCATGTGATGTCACACTTTATGAGCATGCCATGTCATGATGGGATTCTCAGTCTCAGTCCATTCCCATCATTAACCAAGGACTGCCGGTACTTTGGGCTTATCCTGAGCACTGCACTAAAGCTTGAAAGGTGCTACAGTTTTCAGAATCATTCTTCCTTAATAGAGTGATATTCTTTTTGTACATTTGTGGGGAAGCTAGAAAAATAATCAAACTCATTTACAAATATTCCTCTTAGAAGTAATACTCATTTTAATTTCAATACTATTTTCTATTTTTCTTTTCCACTAATGGAGAGAACAAAACAGATGTCAGATATAAAAGCCCTTATGAGCAGTGGTACCTTCAGCTTTCTGACCCATGCATACTTTGTGGTTCTGAACTAGGAAGAGCATAGGATGACTAGATGGAATTTGTGTGCCATCAAATCATTTTTGAATCCTAGTGATTACATTGAATATCATATAGACTGATATTAGTGAAATCACCTGTTAAGGTATTATACAGGGTCTGTAAAGGGGGGGAAGCACCATATTGGGGCTCAATATTTCAAGGGGGAAGTGCAGTATTGTGTGAGTAGGTCTATTCCTCCCTCCTGCATCAGAGAAGTTGCACCCTCCATAGCTCTTCTTAGTCACTCAAAGTCATCCATTACAGGAGTGGCTGCCAGGCTCAGGGAAATAATTTGAATTTGGGGTAGAGCTTTACTCACAGGCACAACTTTGTGTGATCTGCAAACCATAAAATAGAGACCTCCAAGATGAATGTTTCCTAATCCTCTCCAGGCTTGTAAACACTCATGAAAACACTATTACCCTAACACACTTCTTTGTTATGTGGAAGGACTAAATCAGGGATCCCCAACCTTTTCGACGCCGCGGCCCGGTACCGGCATCAGCTGGGCGCCGCGGCCCGGTACCGGCATCAACTGGGCGCCGCCATCTTTTTTTGACGAAAACGTGCTTCCGGTGACCTCACCGGAAGCACGTTTTCGTCAAAAAAGATGGCGGCGCCGTGCTTCCGGTGAGCTTTCTACCCGGAAAAGCTCACCGGAAGCACTTTTTTACCAAAAAAAGATGGCGGCGCCCAGCAACCAGCGGCCCGGTAAGAGTTGTTCCGCGGACCGGTATCGGTCCGCGGACCGGCGGTTGGGGACCCCTGGACTAAATCATACAGCTATGTTTTTGTAACAGGTCATTATGACAAAATGTAGCAAGGTGGCATCCAAAAGCAGACCCTGCACCTGCGGGAACATGCTAGTGTAGCAGTAGAAAAATTACACATAAAGCACTTTTATATTTAGCAGAAGTCCCCCAATTCTCCAAAGCTTTGCTTAATACAATATTGTGCAAAACCACAAAGTTACTGAACTAAGGAACTAGCCATGTTCCAGTAAGCAAGGGTGGATATGGAAAATAACAGATGGTGTAAGATAAAATGAGTAATTATATGTACTTCTCTTTTCTTGGTATATATGTTATTCTCCTTTGTTGGTATAGTTTAATAAAAGTAACGCCCCAGGCTAAGCTGAGGTCATGACATGTATAAAAGTGACGCCTCAGGAAGAGCCAGGGGTTCAGAATTTGCCATTCTAATGCTCTGAACCTTGTGCACAAATAAAAACCTGTGTTCTCCAACCTTTCGTCGTCTTGTGTCCTGATTTGGAAACAGGATCTGCTGCAACATTAGGAGGAAGATGATTGTGACAATAAAATGTCTACTTGTGGAATAATGTACAAAGCTTCCATCATGGTCCTTAATCATGTTTTATTTTTGCTGGAGAGGGAGGGAGGAAGAGAGAATGATGTCTTTTTTAAAACGATTAAGTGTATTTTACAGCTTACACTGCAGTTTTTATGGGATCTTTGTTCCTAAAGATGCCTTTTTATTGGCTTCAGCTTCTACTGGTGTGGTGTGGTGGAATGATTAGAGCCAGTTTGGTCCAGTGGCTAAGACACCAGACTAAAAACTGGGAAAGAGTGAGTTCTAGACTAACACTAGCTTTAGCCATGAAAAGCATTTAATGCTGGAAGCTGCCCAGAGTTATTTGCTATGAGATAGATAGTAAATAAATTATATAAATAAGCCAACTGTTCTCTCAGCCCAACTCACCTCACAGGGTTGTTGTTGTGAGGAAAATAGAAGAAAGGTGCTTGTGTTCACTGCACTGAGTTATTTGAAAAAAATAAAGGTGGGATGTAAATAAATAAGCCTGGATTATCTTTGACACAGCATAATTGTCCAGCAAAAGTATGGCTGTTTAACCACCATATTGGGTTCAGCAGGCAATACTTTGACTTTCAACTAAAAGATGTAAATTTCCTAGAAATGTTTTGATCACAACAAAACATTGGGGTTGTGGACATGATAGAATTGAAAAAACAAAACAAACCCCCATTGGGTCCTTAGTACAATGAAAAAAGAATCTTCATTTGAATCTGTAATTAAACAACCCTGTGACCTGTTGGGTTGCCATTTCAGAGGTATTTGTTTTTTACCTAGACAGAGAAACGGAATGAAGGGCAAGAAAGGAGTGGGAGCGGGAGTAGCACATTTGAGGTATGGTTCAAAAAATTGTTGCCCTATGATGCACCCTTTCACCTCGATAAAGGTTACAGATACAAGAGTTTTAGTAGTTTATAGATTTGGTATGAAGAGTCAGTTTAATAAAACAAACGAGTGCAGCACAAATATATTTCTCAAACACTTATCTTGTACAATGCTGACATTATAGAAGCTATACAGAGAGTCATGTCATATTTTACATTGGGAAACATCCTTGTCTATTAATTGCATTCACCATGGATTCCAGATGTCTCCTTTGCTGATGAGAAAGGCTATAACCCATTCCAGAACAGCATTTGTCAAAACAAACCATTACCCCCCAAACGACAGGCTTTCCTTCACTAGTGTAAGTTGAATATTAACAATTAGGATCCTGAGAACAATTCTGATCCAATCAAGATGAATTGGATTTCAGGTCTGATGACCCCTCAGCCTCTGGAGGACAATGGGTTTGGAAATGGGGGTTTTTCATCTGTGATCCTTTAGATATGAGCACTCTCAGTCGATGTATGTGGTTTTCAAATTGGGACTGGGACTTGGCATCTCTAGTTCCAGCCATGATTTCTGGTGCTAAAGAGGTCACCAGATTCCTTACCTTTTATTCTGCTCGGATCTTAGTTGCAATGGTGCTTTGTTGCCTCTTTCAGTGGAACGGAGAATTAAAGATGAAACTGCTTCATTTATGTGATTGTCCACTAGGACTCTTAGATGTGCCACCTATTCTATACCTGTGTAGTTGCCTAAGTGTAAAACCATACTTTTATCACCATTAAATTTTATTTTGTTAGATAGGGCCCAGTGTTCAAGTCTGCATCTTGAGCTATCTTCTGGAGTGTTGGCTAATTCCTACCAGGTTGGTGTCGTATGCAAATTTGATCCTTTGCCCTTCTAAAGAGCTTCTTTAGGTGGATTCAATATAAAAGAGAAAGGTATGGTTTAGCAGCTGCTCACTAGTGCAATTCCCTTAGCAATGAGGAGGAACAGGATTCTGACTTCAGCTTCTGGGAAAGCAGCAGACACCTACTGACCTTGAATACCAATACTGAATGCTGCATGATATGAAAAGTACTGATGGGTTAAAGGTGCAATTTTGCCCATTTATGAAAACAACTAATTTTTTTCTTGCTAAGGTGGGCCTCTTATGACTTTATTGCTTTGGTCAACAGTGCTGAGAAAATGTATTTTTAACATTTTTATAGAATGACAAAATTCCTGATCCTAGAATGCTTTGGGGAAAATTATTCAGCCTGAGCACTTGTGATTTCAGCAATTTGATGCAGATGCCACTGCTGTTACTAAAAGCTTCCACGGGTTGGGAAGAATCAGCTACCACTTCAAACTGGTATCCTTTTATTGGGAGTTGATGAAACTAATGATGCACCATTTGTGGTAACCCAGATAAACAGTGAAAAAATGTTTTTTTAAAGGACAAGGTTAACTTCCTTGATCTTAAAATTAATAAACTGAATACACTGGATATCAGAGAACTTTTAATAGTGATAATGCTAATTTTTGCTGGATATGAAATTTAGGAGCTAGATGTAATTTGAACTTGGCCCGTTATTGGATTTGAGTTATTCTTGCCACATTTGAAACTAAGAAAATTGTTACCGGTATTATTCTGAATTGATCATTTGTATAATAAAGATACAAGTTCTTAGCTATATTTCAAATATTTTGAATTTGCCATCAATTTGGGACTTGGATTAGTTTATTATATTTTTTTCAGAGGTTTTTCCACCGTCATTTGCTATTAGTAATATTGCTTTCTTGATTGGTATGGCTAAAATTTATATGCACTTATTTTTTTTTTTAGGAACTCTTGGAGCATTGATAGGTCGAGGAAGGGTAAATCTTGTCCCTTTCTTCACAAGGAGAAAAAAAAGACTTAGGGATTAGCTATTTTAATACATACCTGGGGAAAATCCACAGGAAATTGCAAAACAAAAACCAAGTCAGAGTCGATTGGTACAGAGGCAGTCTTCGAAAATATGGGGCGTGTGTAGAATTTTTCCTTTGTAAAATTGTAGATTTAGCAGGCGGCGGATGCCTGCGCAGCCGTTCCCGAGAGCCTCGAGGGTCAGAGCAGTCTACCCTTCAGGCTCAGGCACAGGCCACGCGGGCCAATGAGCGCAGCGCCTGCCCTGCTTCGCAAATCGGAATTCACGGCAGCCGCCTCGGCCCGTCGGTTGCGTCAGTTTTTCCCTCCGCCAATCGCCGAGTGCTTCGCTGCGGTCATCGCCTGCGCAAGAGCCGCCTCCGTCTCAGCCAATGGCGCCGCGCGGGCGGGGCCGGAGTTTTTATAAGGCGCGCTTCGAGGGCGCCGCCCGCCTTCAGTCTCCAGCTCTCCGCAACGATTGTACGGCTATGGCGCCTCTGGGTTACCCGCACTTGCTCCTCCGAGCTTCGGCCCGCGCCGCTTGGGGAGGCAGGGGCTGCGGCTGCCGACACCTGCCGCGGCCTGCGCGTCGGTTGCACCTGACGGCCCCCAGGTAAGCGAGGGGACGGGATAGGGGCTCCGCTGTGGGAGCCTCCGAAGCCGGCCGCTCCCGCTCCCTCAGCGGCTGCCTCTCGGGGAGGGCCGAGCCGTACTGGGCTGGCGGAGGACGAGGCCCCCCAGTGGCCACTCGCCGCGCTGCAGGCTGATGAAATCTTGCGGGCCGCTTGCGTCGGCCGCCCCTGGAGCGCTTGGCGGATCCCCTGCCGCGCAGAGTCCTCCTGCCCACGGCTGGCTCGGGCCGATGGGCGCTGCAGGGCAGCCGCGTTCGCTGCCGGGGCTGCGCGCCTCGCCTCGGATCCCCCGCCCGAGCCGGGAAATCGCTCGTAGGATGCCGCATTGAGAACCGGGTTGCTAGTTTGGAGCGCCTTATCCTGAAGGCCCCCCGAAGCAGGAGGCGCGCAGCCCGCCGGCCGCCTTGCCAGCTTCCTTGCCCGGGGAGCCGCCTGGCTCGGGTGTGCTTTTTGGCCACGCGAGAAAGCAGTTCGCCCTCCCGAGTAACGGGCCCCAGGAAAGGCAGCCCCGGCCTTCAGAAGTGCCTGCCTTGCCCAGCCGCGAGCGGCTCGGCTTAACAGGG